AAAAGAGAGGACTCCTGCATACACCACTGTTGCACAAATCCTCGCTACCAACTCTTCTCCTCCTCTATCTTTACAACCTAGAAAAAATAAAAGGCTTTATCTCTATTACCAAATCCATAAATTCATTAGCCAAAACACTGCAAAAACAAGTGAGCAAAATGACCCAAAAGCCGCCATTCACCCATGTGGCTCAAGTGGTCACACTTCTCTTTGAGAAGCAAAGTGGTGACATCTTTTGTGATGTGGAGTTCAAGTCCCAAGTTTGACACTCCCTATCTCTTAAGAACAAATACTAATATTATCAATATAATTGTCACTTTCACATATTCCAAGAGAGAAAAGGAGACACAAACATGAAGGATAAAACAAAGAAAACATTCTTTGTGAATTACAAACAAAGCATTTTGGCAGCAAAATGACCAAAAAACCATTACCAGTAGATGAAAGGGAGAAAGAAACATTGGAGGGTGAAATTGGAAGAAAAAAGCATTGCGGGAGGGGGAGGAAAGCATTGTAGCAATCATGAGAGGAGAGCCACCTTCTCGTTAACTGTTTTGAGTGCATTTCTACTTGCTACATGAGGTGTTACTAATCTATTGAGTTTGTAAAAGAAGAAATATGTAAGGATTATGTTCTTGTATTATAATAATGTTAGAAAATTTCATTTGTTTTTATCAAATTTTTTTGTATTTTATATAAAATAAATATTGATTAACTTTTGTTAATGTAAAAGTAATTTTTCAAAATTTATAACTATCTAAATTTACTTCATCTATCCTTTTTTTTTAAAGAAAAAAAAAACTCTCTATAAGGCTTAATTTTTAACATGCATGGTGTGTTTTTAAAGTCTAAGTTTATTTATAATTTTATATACTTAATTTTTTATAATATAGAAAATGCTCAATATCTTGCAGAATTTGAAATTAAATTAAAGTAAATAATTTTCAAATTAAAATAAAAAATACCTAGGTTACCATGTATTTTAAATTTCAATTATCATGATATTATAAAAAAAATTCAAGTTTAATTGCTCAAATTGTTAACTATTTAAAATTTTTAATTTAATTTAAGGACTTAAAAGTTAAAATCTTATAAGTTTAAGATTTTATTATTAATTTTATCTCATTAATTTTTATGTATTTAGTCTTTTAGCATGTATGCCACTTATAAACAAAAAAAAGACAAAAAGAAAAAAGAAACCTACAAATTTTTATGAAATTACTAAAAGAGTATAATTTCAATCAACCAAAGCGCTCTCAAACCCTAAATAATTTACAAAATTACCACCATTCTTTAACTTTCTAGAGAGATAAAGGAACAAAGAAGAGACACAAAGGAAGAAGAAATGTTGACTCTACCTTCTTTATACTACTTTAGATTTGGGTTTATCTCCTTTTTTTTTTTAATAAAACCAAATAAAAAGACAAATCTACCATTAGAAAATGAATCTAACTAGTTGAACTTGGGCTATTTTGGTCTTTTAAAAGAAATTATACAGTGGCATTAACTATAGGTTTGGGTTGAGGGTTATGGAGGGGAGGGGAGGGGAGGAGAAAGAGAGTTATATTCTTCACTTCCCTTCTTTTCTATTTCCCTCAACTCAAACATAAAGTAAAAATAACTATTATCTACTATGTAAATAGCACCTGCTACATTAAGAGAGTTATCATAGCGATTGGGCCCTTAAGCGCTACGCTATGACCATTATAGCAGAGAGTTTGCTGGATCTCTATGATACAGCAAACATGGTATCCCAAGCCAACTCAAAATCACCACATCAACTTTCCTCTCCGTTAAGTGATTGATGAAGTGCCAAAAAAAAAAAAAAAACCCGATATGGTTCTTTTCATTAGTTTGGGATGCCACGTCTGTTGTATCCTTGAGATACAGCAAACTGTCTTCATTATAACGCCATAGCACCTGTTATTGACTACACTTTTCATTTTCTCTTTGATTCTTCTGCTCTCTCTTTATGCTTAAGCCTTAAGAGTAAAAACCCTCGAGTTTTTCTTACAATTTCCTGTGGTTGTCTTAGTTTGTTTTTTTTTTCCATCAACCAAAAAAATACAAAAGCTCAATCCATGAAACTCCCAAAAAAAGTCCCTAAACAGTGTGAATTTAACTGTGT